GGGGATCCCAGGGGGTGCAGAAGGGGTCCCTCTGCCCACTGGGTTCATTTGTTCCCTTCTCATGGGGGCCAGGGGGTGGGACAGGGGCAGGGCACCTGGAAGGGAGCAGGGCGAGTGGGTCCACCCAATGCTGGGAAGAGAGACAGAAGGCCTGCCTCCAAAGGCCAAAGGGCAGGGCCCAGAGGAGCCCTCCCAACCCCAGGGACAGCAGCTCGGAGCTCAGAGCAGCCCCCCAAGGACAGCTCCAAGGGTTAGAGCAGACTCCCCAGGGACAGCTCCGGGGTCAGAGCAGTGACCATGGCGTTCACCCCTGGCGTTGGTGGTGCACCAGCGCCTGGCAGCTGGCACCCAGTCAGCCTCCACAGGGATACTAGGAGATGGGCTCCGTGTTTCTGCAGTTTTGTGGAAGAGAGAACTGAGCACAGAGAGGCCGAGCCTCTTGACAAGGTCCCTCAGCCAGGAAGAGGCCAGTTCAACCTGGAGGCCCGGCAGGCATCTCACTCCTGTGAGGCAGGCTCAAGGTCACCACAGGGGCATACCCTCTGCAGGGCGGGGCCACATCCACGTCACACTGGAAAAGCCAGGAAGCCGGGAAGCCTCAACAGTGTCTGAGCTGCAGGGCAGAGCCCTTACCTAGGGCCGCCAGGCTCTGGAAGTTTTCAGCATCAGGCTCTCAAGGAGGGCCCTCTGGGGGGCCGAGCGCCTGCACGTGCCCAGGGTGAAGGGCCTGCTCTGGGGGGTCCCGAGGCCTGAGCACCGAGGCCCAGAGGCTGGCCCACCGCCCGGGGCCCCTCACGCCCCCTGCTCTCATCCAGAAGGAGGCACCTCACAGGGCCGCTGCCGTCGCGGCCGGGTGTCTGAGGAGCTGCCAGCTCAGCGGGCGTCCTCTTCTGCCTGACCAGTGCGGCTAGAGGCCCTTCACCAGCGCTGTGCCCATTGGAAGCCCACTTCCGGACTCCTGAGGAGGACGGACACCCTCACTGCTTTGATGACAGAAAGTTGTGCCAGGCTCGATCACCCACAAACGTCACAGGGTCCCCGAGGCGAGGGCAGCGAGCGGGGCGGCGGGGCAGGAGAGGGAGAGGGGAGGGCTGGGGTGAGGGGCTCCGGCGAGGCCCCCGGACATCCATATGGGGGGCCCTCAGCGGGGCAGGCAGGTGGGAGTTGCAGGCTGTGACAGCACAACCTCTGGACACGTGAGCAGGCTCAAGGTCATCACAGGTGCATGCCCTCTGCAGAGCAGGGCCAACTTGGGGGCGGCGTTTGCAGGGGGCAGAGGACTGCCTCCGCCGACAGAGAAGGTCTGCACACAGGACCTGGTGCTTGGAGCTTGGCTGCCGCTGCCATGGGGCTCATGGGGGACACAGGCACCCGAGGAGCAGACGGACCGAGTGCTGAGGAAGCCAGCAGGAGCGGGTGACACTGCCTGGCCACCAGCTGTGCTCACGAGGGCCGCAGGCGGGGCCTGGGGCTGGGGAGTGGAGTCTTGGTGTTGTGAGCCGTGCTCCAGCCCTCCCCTGCCCACCGCGACCCACCCTGCACCCCGTCTGCCTGCAGGTCCCCCCCCTCCCCCACCTCCACCACCCTGGCAAACACCTCCTTTAAATTCAGTTCAGGGCCGTTGCCCCCGTCTGGGCCCCCCACAGAGCCCTGTCTCAGCCCCTTGCGATGGGCTGAACTGCTGTCCCCCAAATCCATATGCTGAAGCCCTAACCCCATGACCTCAGAACGGGACTGTGTTTGGAGATGGGGTTTTTAGAGGCGATTAAGGTACATGAGGTTGCGAGAGTGGCCCCAAGCCAATCTGACTGGTGCCCTTATGAGAAGAGGAGGTCAGGACACAGACACGCACAGAGGACTGATTACAGGAATTGGGCCACGTGGTCCTGGAGGCCGAGGAGCCCCGCAACCTGCTCTCTGGAAGTGGGAGAACAGGAAAGTGGTGCGGTAAATTCCCTCTGAGTCCAAAGACCTGGGAACCAGGAGCACCGACGTCTGAGGGCAGGAGAGCATGGACAGCCCAGCTCCAGAAGGGAGAGAGAGCTTGTCCTTCCTGCCTTTTTGTTCCATCTGGGCCTTGGATGGACTGGGTGATGGCCACTCACCTGTGGGGTGGTGACCTTCCTTTCTCAGGCCCGCCATTCAAATGTCAAGCTCTTCTGGAAACACTCTCAGAGAAACACCAGAAATCATGTTTTGCCAGCTACATGGGCATCCCTTTCAGCCCAATCAAGCTGACCCATAAAACTGACCATCACAGCCTCCAAAAGGGACGCAGCCCTGTGATACCTTCTGACCTCCAGAACCGTAAGATAATTCATGTGTGTGGTTTTAAGCCCCTGAGTTTGTGGTCATTTGTTTCAGCAGCCGTGGGGAACAGGGGCAGTGATCCAGATGGGTATGCCCTCCGCCAGCCTCCTGGGAAGGCGTAGACGCGCTGTGACAAGGCCCTGCCTGTGACCGTCTGCTGACACCTCACACTGGACTTCGCCTGGGGACCCAGCTGGATCTTGGCCGCCATCTAGCCAGTTCCAACCTCTGGCTCAGGTGCCCTGGCGCCACTGCCCGCCTGGCCCGTGGCCCCCCGGGAAGGCGGCTGCTGTCGGCGGGAAGCCCCCAGCTGGGTCCTGGACCTGCCACCACCAGCTGCGTGACCTTGCGCAGAAGTGTCACTTCCATCGGATGGACTGTTGGGTGCCAGGACAGGGAGCTGGCTGGGCGGCGGGGAGGGGCGGTGTTTTGGGACCAGGTGCCCAGCAGGCACGTCAGGTCCCCGCCCACAGCTGGACCTGCCCGCTCAAGGCACCACTTGCTTCCTCCTGTGTCCTAGGGCAGGGGCAGGTTAAAGCCCCAGTGAGGGGTCAGGGCTGTGCTTTCTGCTCTCAGGGTGGGAATCAGGGGCCCAGCTGCACGCAGTGCGCCCGGAGCCCAGAGAAGAGGCTGTCGCCAAAGCAGGAGCCCACGGCAGGCCCTTCAGCCAGTGGCTTCAGACTGAGCCCGACCTGGTTCCCTCCTGCTGCCAAGGGCCATGAAGGAGGTCAGCTCCAGAGGTGCACAGTGGGGCGTCTGTGCACTCAGAGCTCTGGGAGCTTCAGGGCGGAGGGTTGAAGGGAATCCTGTGAATGCGGGTGATGGCGCCCAGTGTTTCTACAGCGGGTGGGTGTGGCTAAGGAGGCTTCTTGTGATGGTAAAGGACTCGGGTGGGGCGTCTCCCATGAGCTTGCACTCACAGGTGGCACACAGGGGCGGGGCCGTAAGGGTTGCCCTGACAACAGTAGCGAGCTTGCTGAGCGTTTACTTTCTGCCAGGCATGGGCTACAAGCAGCCCCCTCGGCGGTTCAGTCAGTTCTCACTGCAGACCTACAGGGAGGGATCTCCTACTTTCCCACTTGGCAGATGAGGAAGCCCAGCTGCAGGCGAATGGGCTCACCTGGGGCTGGAGCTGGAAGGTGTGGGCCTAACATTTGAACCCAGGCGGTGTGACCCCCGAGCTCTGCTCTTATCTGCTATGCTTTCGTAGGGACTGTGTGTGCAAACGTGTGTGTCCACGAGTGTGTGTGTGAGTGGGAGTACATGTGAATACGTGCATATGCATGAGAGTGTGTGAAAACGCAAGAAACAGAGAAACCCAAAATAACTAGCTTCAAGATGGCAGAGGTTTATTTCCCTCCCAGGTAAAGGGGTCCTGAGCTAGGCAGTGCAAGGCTGGTATAATGGGTCCCGGCCCCTTCCTCCATGCTGCCCTGCCATTCTCAGTATGCTGCCTCATGGTGCAAGATGGCTGCTGTGCTCCAGCCGTCATTCCAGCCACAGGAAGGAGGAAGGAGAAGAGAAAGATATGCCATCTCTACCTAAGGGATTTTCCCCCCATCCCCAGCTAGGCCTTGATGTTTCCATTAGTAAGGAAAGGGGAGAATGCAAAGTGGGAGATTATTCTGCCTGCTGGGATACTTGACAGGCAGGATAGCGCTCTGGGCTTCCCAGCTCAGGGGATGTTGAGTTGGTGACAGGCAGGATAGAGCCCTGGGCTTCCCAGCCCAGGGGATGTTGAGCTGGTGACAGGCAGGGTAGAGCCCTGGGCTTCCCAGCCCAGGGGATGTTGAGCTGGTGACAGGCAGGATAGAGCCCTGGGCTTCCCAGCCCAGGGGATGTTGAGCTGGTGGGGAGCCTTGTTCTGTACTGCTCTGATGGGGACACTGAGGCCCAGGCCCAGGCCTCCTCCTTCCCAGTCCAGGGCTCTGTCCTGTCACCAGTCAAGAAGGCCAAGTGCCCAGCAGCCATGACACCAGCCTAGCCAGAGCAGACGCTGGGGAAGCCGAGGTCCTACCCGGCCCCTCCCACTGCTCCCCTCCTCTGAGCCCAGAGGCCACGTCACCCCTCCCTGATGCTGGCGGCCTGACCGCCCCGTTCACTGCCCCTCTGCCGCCAGCACCCACCAGGCTGAGCGGTCGGCTGCAAAGTCCCGTCTCAGCCCCCCCTCCAGCTTCCCTCTCTTTTCTCTTCCTCTACCAGCCCCTCATCAACTCCACCCCCAAACCCCAGCAGCCTCCCGGGGTGGAGGGCCCTTCCTCCTATAGGCCAAGGAAGCCTTCCTCCCAGTCCTCCCCCAGATGGGCACTGTTGGTGGGAAGTTGGGGAGCAAGTTGGGGTGGTCTCCCCACAGGCACATGGTGAGTGTTTTCTCTGCCAGGGGTGGGAGCTGGGTGGACCCACCCTGTGAGCAGCTGACGCCTGGACCTAAGGCCCACGTGCTGGCCATCCTGCCACACACAGGCAGGGAGAGGAGGCCAGGGTGCTAGATGGGGAAACTGAGGACAGGCAGGCGTGGCTGTGAGGAGACAGTGCTGTGGCCAGATCATTACAGACATTTCTAGTTTATTCTCCAAAGCTGGGGTGGGGGCAGGGGAGGGGAAGGGAGGGGAAGACAGTGGACAGAGCACTGACCAGCCAGGGTATAAGCCGGGCTGGGGGTGGGGATGGGACCCCCACCCCCGCCCCACTCAGAACACCATTGCCTGAAGGCCGGCGAGAAGGCTGAACAGGAGGGCGGTGGCCACAGTTGAGGGTCTACCCTGGGGGCCACCTGCCCCGCTTCCCTGGGGGTCCTGCCAGGGCGGGATGTTGCACAGGCTGGCCTGGCAGCAGGATATGGTCGTCAGGGATCCATCCACCGTCCTGCTGATGGGTTGACATGTGTCTGCACACCACCCCGAGTAGGTGGTCCGGGGACCTGACTCTGGGTGGGAAGGGGGTGGTGGAGAAAGTGCGTCACACTGTAGGGACGAGGCCCCGCACAGACGTGGGAGATGGGCTCCTCCCGTCCGGCTGCCCCAGGGTGGCCTGCTCACCAGTATTCCAGTGGGAGACAATGGTTTTGCAGGTCTTGGGGAGGATGCAGTTCTGCATCTGTCTGCAGCTCTCATCCCTGTGCAGGGACTGGCAGGAGTAGCACCGCAGCTGCACTGGGAGGCCGGGCGGGCTCAGTCCCCAGCGCGTCGCAGCTCACCCAGCCCCCCACCTCTGGCCTCTTCACCTCCAAGGCCTTTTCCCAGCTCCTGTCCCACTCACGCATCCTCAGCTGACCCCCACGAACCCTGCGCCCCTGCCTCAGGACTGGCCCCTTTCCCTCCCCTCGCCCGTCCCCACCAGTGCCAGGCTGCTCATGTCTTTCTGAACAGGACTCCACACCAGGGCCTGTGACTCTCCGGTCTCCGCATCCTGGGCTCCGCTGTGCTGTTGTCCTGCCTGGTGAACTCCGTCTAACCTCTCTGCCGCGACACCACTGTCCCTCCCAGGAATGGCTCCTTCTCTAGGCCTCCCTACTCTGGACGGCAGTTGAGGGTCACGGTCAGGGTGAGAGGTGAGGGTGTGTTGAGTGTCAGGGGCCCCTCCTCACCCCTTCCCCCACGAGGGGAGGGAAGCTCACAGGCAGAGGCCCTTGCCTGTCGTGTCCTCACCATCAGCCTCGCGGACCCTGGCCCTCGGCGGTGCCCACGCATGTGTTGGAAAAGGGGGACAAGTGGCCCACTGTGGGGTCAGGGTGGGCAGGTACCTGTGCCTCTGCTGCCTGCAGTCATGCTGGCCTCGTCGTCCTCCTCGTCGTCGTCCTCGTCATAGCCTTCAGGTCCAGCGTCCACGTCATCATCCTCGACCTCCTGTGTCCGCCCTCTGCCTGGCCGCGCAGGGACGCCTGTAAACCTCCACTACCCGGGCACAGAGGACACATGCTCGGGGTCCAGTGCCACGCCCCCACCCCTCGATCCATCAGCCCCCTTGCCAGTCCCTCTGTCCTCCCCACCGCCTCCCAAGCTGGCGAGGTCGCTGCCTGGGTCTCCGAGCCCCGGCCCTGCTTCCTTGCCTGTGTGCAGCCTGGCATCGTCCTTACCAGCAACACTAGAGGTTGTGTGCTGGCCCTTTACAGCAGCCGGTGGCCCGTAGCCGTCAGATGTCCATTTCACAGAAGAGGAAACTGAGGCTGGGAGAGGAGCACACCCCAAAGCCTGCCTCTCTGAGCGGCTGAGCCTGGGGGTGGGTGGGGAGGGAGCCCGTGCCCCCAGGGCCTGGCTGGGCCGGGGCTGGAGGTTCAGGGGCCCGTGGGAACCCAGGACAGCCCCATCCACCTCCCTGTGGCCTCGGCCTCCAGCTGCATTCCCTCTTTCTTCCCAAGCCATGTCTTGCCCCCAGGCTGGGTGATCCTGGGGGTCCTGTGCGCCTGGACTATGCTGTCCCCCTCGCTGCAGGGTCTCCCCTCGCCCCGAGTACCTTGCTGCCCGCACGGCAGCAGGGCCAGCAGGACGGCCACCAGCACCTTCATCCTGCCGGAGCTGCCGCGTCTGCTCACCCGGCTCCTTGCTGGGCCTCTGGATTTGTGGGAAGTGGGACAAAGGACATTGCCGGGGGCTTCCCGGAGGCCCTGGACCCCCCAGCTCCAGCCTCAAACAATGGGCCTCACACTGGCCCCCAGGCCAGGCACTGGGCCAGGGATGGTCATTTCCCTCCCTGACTCCAGGGGCTGGGTGGGGGAGGGGAAGTCATTGTGGTTGGCCTTGGGGCGTCCAGTCCACCTGTGTGGCTCTGCCCTGGCCTTGAGGCCTCAGCCTAGTAGTGCGGGCCGGCCAGTCCACTGCCCCCTGTCTGGACCCCAAGGACCCGGGCCCAGGCCACACAGCCCCAGGAGCCTGGCCTCACGGGCCCTCCAGCTGCAGAACACTGACCAGGCACCTTCAGCCGTGAGTCATCATCGACATTCCGGGGGCCTTGTTAAGAGGATTTCGAAGAAAAGCACAATTGCAGTCCTCCCGCCAGGCCTGCCTGTCCCGCCAGCACTGCGCTCGCCCACTGGCTGCCGGCTGCCCTCCCTCCCACCTCAGGACATCGTCCTGGCTGTTCCCTCTGCCTGGAATGCTGTTCCGGCTGACGTCCACGAGGCTGTCCCACCTGCACAGGCGTTACCTCCTCAGAGAAGCCTTCCCACCATCACCTCACACCCTATCCGTCCCTTGCGTTTGGCCCCTGCCCTCCAGAGCTCCACGCCGACCATCCAGGGTGGGGTGGAGGCCTCCTGGGGAGCCGCTGGGAGCCTTTCCGGCCACTGCGTGCGCTGTGTGTGGGCCTGGGCTGCCCCACTCTCCCGTTCCTCCCCTGCGGGACACAGACTGTGCACGGGGGCTGCTGAGAAGCCCCTTCCTGGAGGCCATGGAAAGGAGGGGGCAGGGGCAGGAGGCTAGATTGGGGCCTGGAGCCAGGGACGCGAGCCCGCCCCAGTGGGTGTGGCCCACCCTGTTTGCGTGGCCCACTCCCTGAACTTGCCCGGCCTGAATTTCCCCAGTGGGTGGAATATTCTCAGGGAACACCTGCAGCAGAGGTTGAGAGCTGGCTCTGGGTAAGACCGCCTGAGCCTGAGCCCAGTCCCCTTTTCCCTGGTTCTGTGGGCTTCAGTGCTCTCACAGTGGTCGTGGCCATCAAGAGCCAGTGCCCGCTGGCGTGTAGGCCGGCTCCCGTCACAGTCCCCACAGGGCCAGCTGGATGACATTTCTCTGAAGTCTCAACCACCAGGTGTCATCATCCCTCCCCCATTCCTTTGGACCAGTGCACTCTCGCCTTCCAGTGGGCACTGGGCCGGCCTGGGCATCCTCAGCTTCTGCAGGAAGCTGCCCAGCCTCCGTTATCAGCTGCCCCCAGCCCTTCCCCACCTGGAGGCTAAAATCACTCTCCAGCCAGGGTCTCCCTCAGTCTGGTGCTCACGGCCCTGGACCTGCCCTCTTCATTCCTCAGGCCTGTGTCCACGGCCACCCCAGCCAGCTGCTCCCGCAGACCCGGCTTCCTCCTGCAGGTGCTTTGATCTGGGGTCACAGGAGCTGCTCCCAGGAAGGGCTCCACAGGGGTTCCCAGAACTGTTAGGGAGCAGGGAGGCTTCACCCACCGCCTGTCCCCCGAGACGGGCCCAGCTCCTCCTCGGCCGAGGTGCAAATAATACTAGCACATTTAATTCACTAAGTAAAATTGAATGTCATTTTACTTGTCCTCAACAACTCCAGGGCTGGGTAGTGTTACCATCACTGCTTTACCGACAAGGAATTACTGCAGAGATTCAGCCCCGCCCTGACTGCCCCTCCCTGCTCCCCACCCACCCCTGCCCCAGGCTGCGCCTCACCCCTCCTCCCTCACAGCGGGCGCTGCTCCCTCTGCTGCATCCCAGCAAGGGGGCTGGGGGTTGGGCCCGCTCATGCGGACGCAGTCACGTGGCCAGGCCTGGCCAAGGCTGGTGGCCCACAGGAGTGCACGAGGCCCCCAGCCCTCAGGTCAGAGTGAGTGTGGGGCCCCCCTCGACCCCCCCCAGACATTCTGGCCTCAGACACGCCTGCTGGTGGCACTCTCTGACCCCAGGCTTCCGTGACAAGGGCCACCCCTGAAGCCTCCCCGGGTGGGGACATGGCTCCCTCAGACCCCAAGGGCCAGGGTTGAGGGCAGGTGGCCCTGTGGGCACCTGAGGCCCACTTTAGAGCCTCTGCCCTTCTATGTCAGGGCTTTCTCCCTCAACATTGCGCACGTGCACCAGGCTCTTCTTGGGCACCCCGGGGGCCCAGCTTTCTGCCCCTGCAGACCCCTGTCTGGTGTGGGCCCGGCCTTGCCTGCTCTGCCCTGCTCGGTCGGGCTGGCTCCCGTGAATGGCCCGTGGGTGCAGCTGGTGTGGGTCCCCTCCCTGCCAGGCCTGGCCTCCCTCTGGCCGAGTGAGTTGAGTGAGTCACCTTGTTCCTCCTGGCGGCAGCGCAGCTTTGTCTTCAGACCTTGGTGCCGGCCCTGGACAGGGCACACTGGCCGTCCACACCCCGTCCGGCCCTGGCAGAGGGGGAGGTGGTAGGGGAAGAGCATGAGCCCTGATCTCTCTCTGGGGAGCGGCGTGGCCCCGGCCTGCGCTATGAACCCACACTCTGGGCTTCTGGGGTCACCACAGTGAACCGGACCCAGACCTGGGGAGGGATGGACAACGCTTCTGACTGAGGGGTGGAGGTCTGGTGCTGTGGGTGCGGGAAAGGCATCTGCCCTGCCTGGCAGCACACAGCCACGGGCCAGTGGGGCCTCTGAGGGCAGATGTGGGCTGCAGATGCGCTGGCCCTCCTGTCCCCCTCCCTGTTCCGGGCTCCTTCCCACCCTCTCTGCAGCCAACCATCTCCGCCTCTGGGAGCAGAGGGAGGGCCTTCCTTCTTAGATCAGAGTCCAGACCGTCCTCCCCGGTGGTCAGGGGGCCATGAGGGGTCTCTCGTGGGCTCTCTCTCTGCTTCTGATGGCCCCCCAGTGACTGGCCAGGCAGGCAGCTCCCAGGGACCGTGATAAGGCACAGCCTCTTTCTTTCCTGAAATCCATAACTGAGAAACAGGCACATGCGGGTGGGCTGGCCAGAGGGAGCAGGCTCCGGGTGGTCTCAGGGGACCGACTCCCCTGTGCCCCGGGACCCCGTGAGGAGACACATCAGGGTGTAAGGAGCCATCTGTTGATTCCAGGCCCCCATCCTCCATTTGTTCAACCTGCCCCCGTCCCACCTCCACACGTCCACACCCCAGGTTAATTTCCTCTAACCCCTGGACACTCTCGGCCCATCCACATTAACCTCGGAGAGTCTCACCTCCCCTTGCCCCCCAAGCCCCACCACGGATCCCTGGTGTCCGGCGCCAGCTGCGGGGCTGCCTGTGGTACCCCCCCCCCACCAGCCCACGGTGCCTGTCAGCACGCCCTGCTCCTGCACCCTCAGCTTACCCGCCTCCCCCACTTCTATGAGAAGCCAGGCCTCTGGGGGCAAGGGCCCCGAGGTTGCCGCCCTGCCCACGCTGTGCCCAGCGTCACCCCCTCGGGATGCCCCGTCCTCCAGCCCCCCCATCCCCGGCCTCCTTCTCCTCTCCTGTCCCTCCAGCTCCCCTCCCTTCTGTCTCCTGGTTCTTCCTTCCCCCCGCTTTTTCTTTAATTGGTAAAAATACACATAATATAAAATTTGCCGTGTTAACCATTTTTAAGTGTAGAGTTCCGTGGCATTAAGGACATTCACACTGCTGTGCAGCCATCACCAGCTTCCATCTGCAAAACTGAAACTCTGTCCCCATTAAACACCCATTCCCCATCCCCCTCCCCTGCGTAAAGTCCTCGAGGTTCATCCATGTTGCAGCTCCTGTCAGAATTTCCCCCCTTTTAAAGGCCGAATAATATTCTGTTGTATGTAGAGACCACATTGTGTTTATCCTCCATCTGCCGCGGACTGCCGGGCCATCACCGTGCTTTAGGCACTGCGAATAATGCCGCTGCGGACACGGGTGTGCAGACATCTTTTCCAGTCCTTGCTTCCAATTCCTCGGTGTCTGTGCCCAGAAGTGGGATTGCTGGGTCGCATGGTGATTCTGTGTTTAATTTTTGGATTGGTTCCTCTCCTTCTGCATGTAAACACACTCAAGTGTCTCTCACTAAGAAAATAAAAACAAGTCGCTGAAAAGCCACACTTTTCCTTAATGCTCCACCCAAACTTCCTCCCGTCTCCTTCCTTGTGCCGCTCTCGGACGGCGATGTGGGGACATCTCCACGTGCCAGGAGCTGCGCTCTCGCCCACGAGTGAGCCCCCTAACACCACCACGGACCCCTGGCCTCCGCGCCGGCGCGAGGGCCGGAGCACCCAGACTTGGGCTGAGGCTGCTCTGGCCCCGCCCACCGTCGGCCTCGCCCACCCCTGCCTAGGGCTGCAGGCCTTGGTGTTGGCGCCCCCTGGGGAAAATGCGCTGGCGAGGGGCACATCCCGCACGGCATTTATTTCCTGGCAGTAGGGACCCACCTCCCCTGCACTGAGCTGTTACCGCTGAAAGTAATTTTGTAGGGATTCTCTGCAGCCGGAGAAAGGGATGAAGCCCTTTGTGTCCTGCATCGGGGAGCGGTTACGCGGGCTACAGGCGGGGCTGCGTGGCAGGGGGGGATGGGGGGGCTTGGCACTCTGCGCAAAGACCTCACGTCTGCACTGCGACCGCCCCGCGCTGCCCGCCCCGCAAGCTTGGACCTAGGACGCCGGGAAGAAAGGAAAGCCGCTGACGGCTGAGCTCGGGACGGGGGTCTGCACTTGGCGGAGGGGCGTCACTTAAGTCAAACTTGGCGGCACGGACGCGCCCCCGCGAGAAGCCAGGGCTGCGGCCCAGGGCGAGCAGGCGCCCCTCCCCGGGCCGTGGGCTGGGCCCTCAGGGGTCGCACGGGCCCTCCCGGCCGCAGCGCTTCTCCCGCACAGGGAGAGCAGTGGGACCCGCGTCCCGGGACGTCCCACCTGGACTCCCGGCAGGTGTGGTGGCA